AGCCAAGGTTGTAATTTCACAACCACACAATCAGAGTGCACTTCGGAGACAAAAGATGAGATGATGTGCCTTGAAAAGTGCAATATAAAATAAATGTTCTAATTAAATATTACCAAATACCTCAAATGTCTCAAATACCCCATAACATCTGCTTGGAGAATAAAGTGCCAAAGATCTGTTGAGCCCAAACAGCCAAAAAGCTGCTCAGAAAAATCTAATTTAGTTTAGAACAGTTACAAACAACAGGAGGCCATTTGGCCCATCTAGCTCCGTTAGGTAGTAGTTAGTAGTTAGTAGTTGATTGATTCAGGATCGACAATCATACAGCCCTGTCTTGAAATAAAAGAGAGTTTCAGGGTCAGCTGTTTCGGAGCCTCCTTGTCTTGTTCTGGGTTGTAAATGTACTTCCCTGTCACGTCAACCGATTCATTTTTTAAAAAATACACCGCCATAGCTTTGTTGATGCTTTTGAGGATTCTGAATATTTGTATCCGTCCCCTGGTAATCCTCTCTATTCAAGAATAAGAAAGTTCGGTTCCTTTAGGGTATCAGTGTAGGACGTTTCCTAACCTGTCTGGTTGCTAATCCCCTGGACTAATCCAGGAGCAGCAATACAAATGTCTTTTTTATAACGGGGTGTTCAAAACTCTACACCATCAGTCTTAAAATTTAACTATTTATGCTACCTTTTTTGTGATTCTGCAGTTTGCTTATCCTCCTAATTTGGTACCACCTGCAAATTTGATTAGTTTACTAATTATATCAGAGTCTAGATCATTGATATAAATTAGGAAGAGCAGTAGTCCCAGTACAGATCCCTCTGATGCTTCACTAACTACATGTGGAGTATTCACCACTGTCATTTGCTAATTAACCTTTCTGGGGAACTTTGACAAAAGCCCTGTAAAAATCTAAATACACCCATATTGTGTGTGTCCATTACTGCTGCAGCCTGTTCAAGAACTCAAACAGAGTGATTGGGCAAGACTTACCTCTTCTAAAAATCTATGAAGTTGGCTAACTTTTCATGTTTCAATTTTCACTAAGCACAGTGAGGCAAACTAAAAGATTCTTAGTAAAATTGAAATGATCACTTGCTTGAAATAGCACAGAGACTTCTGTTCCCCAGGATCTGTGCTGCAGACACATAAACTACCTTGAACTACTCATGTGCTATTTTCTAGTCCTGTTTCATAGGGAAATAGTACTAGTTAATGTACATATTCCTGTGTCATTATTAATATAGGTGGTTGCATTTGGTCTTAAAACCATCCAGGGAATGGAGGTCTCATTTTTCCAAATGAGTGTGGACATTATCAATTTACACAAGGTTAACCTCCAGAGAAAACTCCCCGGAGTTTTCTGTATTATTGTTAAAGACATCACGGTTTTTTTCTCACATTGAATGCTGCATACTAAATCACTCAACTAATCCTCTTGTGTCTTCCAACAGGGTAGAGGGGGAAAAAAGAGAACTGTGTTCTGTGAAAATGGAAACTACAGGAAGCGTCTACATCCCTTTACATTTACTGCCTAGAATGAAAAATACCAGGTAGCAGCCACCTTTAGTGTCTAACAATTAAGACTGCAGCTGACGACTTGGGAGTGAGTGAGAGAAGAGGTGTCAGGCTAAGCAGCTCTTGTCTTGTCCAGAAACAAACAGCTAAATTGGATTAGATGACTTTACCTGTCAATTGCGGGCCTATCTGGTTACACCAGCGTAGCTCACTTTTCTGCCACAGACCCGCGATGGCCGGCGTGGAGAGGCAGGCAGCTCAAGCACGTGGGACTTCCCACACCTCTGACGTCTTCATGGGAGGAGTTGGGGACTCTCTGCTGCAGGAGCCAGCCGAAGAGGAGGTGTCAGATGGAAGCAGAGGTTTGGGGTAGGCAGCGTTTGCAAGCTGACAAGAGCCTCAGGTAATGTCTGTGCTGTGTCTGGACAGTCAGGTGGACACAGCAGTGACCAACAAGCGAGCCACAGAGGCACAGGGTGCTGGGGACATCAGTGTTGAGACTTACTGTAATGAAAGACGCTAAGAAGAAGCTGAAGAACAGGACCCGATCACGATCAATCATTAATCAGATAAGTAAATGGTTCACAATAATTCCCCTCACACACAATCACCACCAGAACGACTGGATTCGAAGCAATATAAATCAGCCGGGTGTTCCTCACTTTTTATAAATTATTATATGTACAAAAGTGTATTTTTTTTATATCTACACAAGCACTTGTTACAAATAATACAAGAAAACAACCGATACATAGCAATGATTCAATGTATAATATTAATCATTTAAGATTCAGATTAGACATAAAAAGTGAGCCCAGTTATTTCATCACACTGAGACATCAACCACGCTGAAGGGCTCCGGCACTGTCCTTCTAGATGGGGCTTAAGCAAGCCTTAAAGAGTGAGATTAATGCAACTGATGTCCAGAGACAACATTACCAATGCGTGAAGATGCTATAAGCTAATGAAAATTGTTGCCAACACATGGCATTATTATAGAAATATGCAGATGGCCAAGAATAATTAAAAACACAAGACTGCCATTTACCTGTCTTCTCCTCAAGTACCTCATTCAAAATATGAAAATATTCAACCTTGTCCTTTCCCAAAGAAACACACACATTCTTCCAACACACACCTGCCAGAACACCTCCAGAACAACAGAAGTAAAAAAGCATTAATCCGCAGGACTGGCATACATTAGTAACCTGATGGGTCTGGGCTGTCCTGATCACAGAGGGGTGTGCAGAGTTAGGCCCCCTTTCTCTCTGCACAGGTGCCAGGAGGAAGACTTCTGGTACACAATCTTCAGAAGAGGAAGAAGTGCACTGGGCAAGAAACAACCTTTTTGCCAAGAACCAGAAAGAAGGGAAAATGGTATAATTGCTAAAATACACACATTGTTTACTGAAGCCAAAACGTTTACTGAAGGGTGGGGTGTTTGCATTAACCATGTAGTTTAAGCCATCTTTGCTTCTTAAGAGTTACTTGAAAAAGAAAACCTCTTCAGGCTTAAAATTATGCAGGCCTCCTCGGAAGGGAGAAAGTGATAAAAGCCAGACACACTAATCAGATCCAATTAATTAATCATAAGTTTCAAAAAGTGTTTACAAATGTCATTTAATAGAGAAAGACCGACAAATCTGCTAGTTTTTACTGGCAAATGGGTAGTTGGCAGCTCGATTTGCAGTTTTCTGTTTGCAGAGGAGCTGCTTAAGGGCCGTGTTAAAAAACCCAGGAGAGCAAAACTAGGAAAAAGCAGCAGCACCAGTAACACTCGCATGAATGTGACTAAAAGCCATTCAACAGTGCTTTTTATCATGGAGCAGTTGCCCAAAACTCTTATTGAGATTAGATTTGCATCAAATTGACTTCAGGGCGTTCTGAATTACTTTTATAAACTCTCCTCTGCATAGCAATGTCTTTTCAACACTTTGCAATACAAACGTCATCGTCTTGGCAATACCCGACTACTTTAAATAGGCAAAGAAAAAAGGCAGAATGTTTTAAAGGTACCTATGAAAAGGGTTAAAACGTGAAAAATAAAATGAAAAATTATCCCTGAAACTTGAGACAACTGATTCAAGCAGTCACCAACACAATAGACGGATCACCAAGCAAGAGGAAAGCAGATTTATACAGCCGTAAAAAGGTTTACTGCAGCACATGTGGGCTTTAACATGATTGGTTTCTTCCGCCCTCAAGAGATTTAAAAAAAAGCCCCAGAAGTAATTTTCAGTTTTGAGGGCTTTAATTAAGCCACAGAGCAGCAATGCATCTTTAAATAATTTAAAATATGATAAGTATATAAAAGCTTAATGAGTCTATAAAAGTGCGGCAGGGAAGTGGGTGGTCTGCACCAGTGGCGGCGCTCTCTTCCCCTCTGTCCGGCAGACGCCGATCCCTTCTCGGCGAAGGACGCAGGAGTATACACGCTGCACATTGCTTCATTTTTCACTTGAGTGGTCTTCTTTAGACCCTTTCAACTGCCCACTTTATATCGGCTTCATTACACCACCGATCCATTTGTAATGTAAATTCCAAAACTCAGGAAAGTTTTTCTTTCTCCCTTGTCTGCAAAAGAATACCAAGAGGCATTCAAAACGTATTAACACAAAATCAATGGCAACAGTAAAAGCAAAATCTCCTTAGCAACATAATCTTGATTGCAAAAAGGGGATCTGAGACCATTTAGGAGAACAGCAGCCCACATGGAGAAGGCATTTGTCTGGAAGAATTGAACACAATGGCCAGCAGACAGACAGCGACAAAATTTAAAATTAACTCACAAGGAACTGTTACTTTTTTCACATGCGGACAATTGGCTACATTAAAACGATCGTGTGCTTTTTTTCCAAGCCACATTATACCTCAAACTCTTTTTAACTTGTGCCTGAGCGAGACGCCTGAATGGGGGCTGTCCCTCAGACGTTTTGGGAACCGAGGCCTATCAAAGCTCAGCTTTCACTGCAACAAAATAATATGCATGCCTCCTTTTACCCGTCTCCAAACAATGTTTCTTTTTGATGAGCATGTAATCCTGCATTAAGAAAATGGAATGGCACATGGGTTTAAACAGATTCCTAAAGAGGTCAGAGGAGAAAACGCTTCTCCCGAGCGACATAATACTTCACACAAGTGCCTTTAATCCTTTCTCCTAACCTTGATTTAATTTTAAGCATTAACCATTGTTTAAAAGACACAATGAAAAACAGATTTTGGTGAAAATGAAATCTAGAGTAATTTAGGACTTATTCCGTAATACCTCATTAAATAAAGATACAATACATCAGCAAGTTTAAAATGAACTCAAATATCTACTCCCAGCATCTGAAAACTCCTAATACAGGTATCTAAGCAGCAAACTCAATTCAATTCACTGGTTTCTCTAGCTTAACCTTAAAAGTAATTTCAAAAAGCAAAATTTACCAACTTTTTTCAAGACACCTGTGTTTTTTATTTAATCAGGAAACTAAAGAGTTATTTTCTTTCCAAATGTTTTATTACTGGCAATACTGTTCATACAATGTCATAAATAATTTTAAAGAAAACAACACTGCATTTAACACTTGGGCCAGGTCCCTTAGTAAATTACGGAAAAAAAACATACACACATTTATTACAGTACAGTAATGCATTTAAAAATTATCCATGATTTCCAGTATGATTTGTATCATGCATGACAGGAAAACTATACAGAAGTAAAGTCTGTACTATTTGACCTACTTTAACAGTTACCTAAGGTTTGCATTGCCCAGTTTTCATAGAAGATAAGCCAAGCAATGTACCTAGTTAAAAAGTGGTATTAAAACCTATTAGCACTGCAAAGTCATTAGATAAACTAATATGCAGGTAATGAGTTAAAGGCCTTTGAAAAGTGAGTACAGCTTTGGTAAACACTTGACAATTGCTTCCAAAAAAAAAAAAAAACATGTATTGCTATATTAGTTTTCTATTACAAATTGACAAGATTCCTGAACTCTTAGGAAATGACTGAGCCAGCTGGAAAGAACAAGAAGGGTGCTTTAACAGTGCTCAGGCTACACCTTACAACAAACTATAACACAAATGAAGCCCTTTTTTACATCTCAGATATATCAGAGCTTACTTCTTTATATCACTCCCTCAGATTCACAAGCCACTAGAGGCAGGCTTGTAGAACACAGGCAAGCAAAGTCAGTGACATTAAAAAAGCAAGAAACATTTTAATGGCACATTACAACAAGCAGATTCAGTAAAGCACATTCAAATACATCTCTTCAGGGTTTATCGTTCTGTTACTTTTTTCATAATTTAAGTCTGCATTTTCATGGTGTAAAAAAAAAAAGTTTATTTAAAAAAATTTGCAATAAAGTAAGATTTAAAGCTATTACATGTAAGAATAACCAAAACATGAACTCCTTGTAGAAACTACATACAGTACAAAATATGCAATAGACAGGTCCCTATGGCTGTGATGCATATAACCAGCATCTAGCACAACTGATACAGTGTTTAAACAAAACATAAAAAAATAAGATACTGGCCTGACCCAAGCTTAAAAAAAGGCATAACCAAAATACATATTCCACCAAACCAAAGGGGTGAAAAAAAACTAATTACAAATGGAACATAAAATAAATGAAATACTACACAATTCTGCCCCTTTCTTGTAACCTGAAGGAAAGTGTGCCTTCAAAAGCTACACCTCACATTCATTTAGCACTGTCACTTGCCATCACGAGCAGACAGTGCTGGTGAACATCTCATGCGTTGACCTCTTGGGTGTGATGACTGGTCAAAGTGCAGTCCATGTCACGACAATTACAAAACCAGAGTAAACAGCTTTTTCACCCCTCTTGAACAGAAAAAAGTAAACAAGGCAAACAATCAGAAAGGCCATGAGACATGGCAATGATTTGGAAAACAAAAGTCCATTGAAAACTGCAACACTAGTGCATTTTTATGGTCCTGAGCCTCAGAAATGGTCAGACACTTGCAAAACCATTTGCTGGTTTTGCTTCTATATAAAAATTAATAACATTTCTAAGTACAGTAAGGTAGATTGTTTGCAGAACCAGCTGACTTTTTCATTATAAACTAATAAAAGTGAATCTGTCGAAGCTAAGAACAGCTAATAGAGATAAGGAAAAAAATCATACACCTGGATTATTTAACAGCAACAGGAGACACTCCATAAGATAGAAAATTACAATACGATGCCTTCTCAGTTCCTTTTGTTTTTAATATAAAGTTCAAAAAATCTGCAATACATGTACAGGCTTTCTGGTGACCACAAACAGGAGAGGTTTTCCTTTTCAGTGACGGTCCTCAGCTTCGGCAATCACAGATATAAAGCAAGAAGGATCACTGGGATGAAATGTGAGGATTAAACAGTATCCATGGTTTGGAATAATGGGGAGAAGTGTCGAACATCTGCAATGAAAGAAGAAGCAGAAAAAGAAAGAGAGGGGGAGGGGCAGCGAGAAAACCACAAGGTTCTGTCGGACCATTTCAAAATCACAACCAGGACAGTACCAAGCAAGGCACCATTGGAAGGAAAACACACTGAAACAAGTCTCTGAGTCACACTGAGGGCTAATCTGGCCGGAAAATTGGAGTCTTCGGTAAAAATTCTATTAGGATGACCTGAAACACACAAAGAGAGAGGGGCTGTTGAAATCCAAGTATTACAGCATTTTCATGGTGTCAGCTTCCTCTTTGACATCGAACCTTTTTCTTTTTTTGAGAATTAGCATGAAGATAAGAACACTCGCCACCAGGCATGCCAGCAACCTTTCTGAAAGACCCCTTGACCCCTTTGAAAATAAACCAGCATAATCAGGCCATGCAGAACGCCTGTCCTTTAATTGGGAGGTCATTAAGAGCCTGCCCACCACAGCATGGGCTGCAACACTGCCTCTGTCCTCAGCACCTTCACTGGATCTGCGCAGGACGAACAGATGCATGGCGGACAAGGCGCTGTGCTTGCCTCGTCTTGCAGCAAAGCACTAGAAAACATTTAACTAGGTGCTATGTTTTGACAGTGAAGCAAAATGAGACAAAGAACAACAATGCAGATATCTGAATGACTGCTCTCCTTCCCTCTTGGCCTTTCTTCCTGTCCTTCTCATTTACTGCGTTATCTTCCTTTTGCTGCTGAATTTCCTGAATGCAGCTCAATATACTGTGGCACTTTCAACTAGCTGCACCAGTTGTGTACAATCAAGCACCTTTCATATATTTCCTTTTAAAAAACCCAGATTACTCAACAAATGGATATTATGACCACTTTTTCAGAATCACAGGAAACAAAAAAACACTTCAAATGAACAAATCAGAAGCACTAAATAAAAATGTTCCTGCGCTTCATAAATACCTCAATGGAAACAAATGGACAGAAATACAGTGGTCTGCAACTGTGTTTTTTTTATTCTGAAAGGACATTAACACTCAGCACTATACAGATGACTGGACTGCTGGCTGTATGTCCGATTTCTCCCATGCCAGCTGCACCGAGCTGTGAAAAAAGAGTCACAGTCCGCTCATCCTCAGGCAGGGCTGCAAGTCAGCTTGACAAAACACAGACACGCATCGCTTTCTGTCCCCTAACTGTGTTTATCTGACCTCAGGCATAATGTTGGGTATATAATAAAGCCTTTCAACTCCCTCATTATTTCTTTGCTTTTTTGTTTGTTTATGGATGTTAATAAGAAGAAAAACACTCCGCATTCAAAGGTGACACTACAAACGATCTAGCTAGCTCCTCCCATTTTTTCCTCATTATGCAATCCTATCACGTGTCTCGCACCGTCATAAATCAACACGCTCAATGTAGATGCTGATACAAAAATCTATAGTAACCAATGCGGTGAATAGGTTTTTATCTACACAAAAAGCCATTTTAAAGGGTCTTTTATGTTTTGAATTTGAAAATAGACTTTCATCAATAATTGCCTGAAAGCCTATGAATAAGAGATAATAGAGAATAGAGTGTTTTGTGAATCTCTCAAGTCAAACCGTTGAACGTTTTGTACATTTGACCTTTTTCACTTCAGGTTGATTAAAACCTCTTTTGGAATGTTTTATGAGATTTGCACGTGCAAGAGTTGTATAAAGTAGCTTTAAATGAACTATTGCTACACTGCTGCAATACTGCCCATATGCAAATAACCAAGATATAGGGACAAATAAGGAAAGTGCACTTCTTAGCGAACATTATGAATTGTTTCAGAAAGAATGAATTCCTTGCAAAACGGAGCGAGTACAATTTTATAACCTTCCTTACTGTGGAAATAAAATTCACACACATGCAGTACTCTTAATAGCATTTTTCCTACTGCACTAAGTAATATATGTAAACATAGTAACTTTTCAATAAAAGGCAGAAAACAAGAAAAGTAAAAAAGTCCTTCAGCAACGTTCATGATTCAGTAGTTATCCAACCTTGAAACTTGCTTCTTTATTCAAAAGCTCTAATTTCACACCTCAACAAAGAATCTTCAGGCCGTTTCATCCTTTCAATTAATTTATTTTTCAGCACACAGTTCAAACCTTGTTTTCAAGCCATTCATAACTTTATAAATCAGCTCTGCACGTAAAAATGTGCATCTGCAGACCGTAGATAATCCTTCCACTCAAGCAATTAAGCATCCTGACACCTTGCTGATAAATAATCATGCAAACAATAAGATCAGAAGCAAAATAAATGATCATTTAATAGAGAAACTCACAAAACAGCGCTCTAACTTACATATTCCATCATGTTATTCGTTTCGCATTTCCTTTTGCTCAGCCTCCAGTGCAAGCACAGCTGGAAAGTAGAGAGAGAAAAGGAAGAAAAATGACTTTTATTTTACTGCAGCACCCAGACTAACCCATTTGTCCACCTTTCATATTTCTAGCTCAACAAAAGCATCTGTTTCCATACTGTGCAATTCAGACCCCAACGGTCTGAGCCCCTTGCAGAAAGCTGCTCCCTGCGGCACTCACCTTGTGGTATAACCTATTGTTTTCCCATTCTAACAACTTCTCGATCGATCTTCGTGTCTGGAAGACAAATGAGAAAGAATTTTACTCTTGACTGATTTCTGAAAAACTTTGCGCTGCAGCTGCCTGTGTGAAAGGGGGAAGAGGTGTGGGACAGGGACTGAATACAGGGTGGTCCCTTGTGCTGTCAAAGCACCTTCAGTGTTAAACAGTAACTAGAATAGAAATGGCCCTTTTAATCCATTGGTGGGAACAAATGGAAACTTCTCCCTGGCCTGCAGCACCCCTCCCCAGCTCAGAGAAATTCTACTCACAATCTCTAATTGCAATCTTACAATCTCTAATTCTACCCTAATTGCTTTGGCAGAGGGTTTCCGAGTCAGACATGGATTTAATATCATAATGACTGGGATTTTATTATCGGTAGAGACAAAGAACGCTGATCTGTTCCAAATCACGAAAGAGGGACACGTTAGTGTTTACACACCACTGCTCTTGCGAACACTTCCGTAACCAGTTTTCACATATTACCACACATCTACTTTAAAAGTATGAAAAGACATTTTAAAATAATTTAATGTAAAAAAAAAACAATAAGACTTTTAAGAGCACAATCAGATCTTCTTTTCTAATCTAAACACTTGGATAAAACTGATTTCAGGGTTAAGAAAATACAGATGAACCATGTGCCAGAAGCATAGTTTTTAATTACTATGTTTAGGTTAACAGGATTAAAGATGTAAGGCTGCCCGAACACCTACAGTGAAAATAACACCAACAATCTTAAAGCAAACGATACTTTTGTAAGTGACAAAAAATTATCACCAGGAGCAAAGTGTGAGGTTTTAAGCATAACGAGATCATACGATTAGATTATTCTTTATTGCCACACAATAATAGTTGGTGGAATTTGGTTTTCGTACAACAAAGAACACAGATGAGGCATACATACAACATATACAGTACGAATTCAAATAGGACAGGAGACAAACAAACATCGTCACAATTTTCAGGAACAGGTAACTCCTAACACGTGCACACTCACGACTGGCAGCTTTAGAAGGCAATTCTAAAGCTCAGTTTTAGAACAACACTCCTCTCTCTTCCACCCCCTGCCCCGAGAAACTGCTAAATCCCATCTTCTCCAAAACTTCAATTATCGATTCCCAACTGCCCAGCAGACAAAGGGAACAGCCTTCCCCATTAGATCAACAATAATGATAAAAAGAAGATAAATGGTGAAGCCAGGTGTCAAGGCCAGGCCTACCCAGCTGCAGGTGCAGGGGACATGTGAAGCTGACACGAAGTTCAACTGCATTAGCCTCCCCCGGCAGCTGCTCCAGCACTGGGGCAGCACTGCTCCGCGCACCCAGGAGAGCACTCGTCCCCGAGGGAGAAGATTAACTTGCAAACATTCGCGGTTTTATCCCTCTCTTGTACTCGGCTACAGTCTTAAAGCGTGCTACTTAAAACAAAGATTTAAAAAGCTCTATTCCACCGATGCTAGTTTTAAAAACTGAAATTCAGCTGTTAACAATCCTGTATTACCAAGTTAAACTGTCCTAGGGTTTCTGGTTTCTACATCTCAGCCTCTCCTGTCTTTCAAAACATGTTAAACACATATGTACTGGTTTGTAGTCAATCTCAGAAAGCCGGATAGGCGGAAGGGTGTAATTAACATTCAAGTTCAGTCGTTCTGTCTCTTGTCTAGCCCCCCAACCTTTGTTACATTTGCCATTCTGCAAGCTTGAGGCGGGGGGGAAATCGATTTGATTCTAATCGGACCATGAAAAGAACATGATCTAACTGCTTTCAGACCCGCATAAATCTGTATGAGCTCCTTTTTCTTTTTTTGCACAATACAGCTCCCAATTTAAAAAGCACTGAACGTCTCGTCAATGACTTTGCGAAGGAAAGGGAGCAAAAAAAAAAAAGAGGAAAAAAGAAAAAAAGACAAGGAGCAGACATAAAAATTCCAATAGTTGTTTAAGCGGCTAAGTTCATTTGCATCACAGCGAACCTGAAAAGGCCTGACCTCTCCAACCGCCTCTCAGGTCTATGAAGTTGTAGCCCTGACAAGCCCACATTGACAGAGCTCATTGACTCTGAAAGGCTACTCTATCAATGGAGGGAAACGGCATTTAGTTTTTCACTCTGAACAGGCATCTGCCTGCCCACCCGCTGACAGACCAATAGCAGAGCTGACACAAAACCTAGGTTTACCTTGCTGTTTCCTGGCCCTGATCCTGCAGTGAATTGGCTAAAGGAGCAGAGACTGTTAGCTCATTGTTCAGATTTCAAATTTAGAGGCACATAAAAACAGCTATTAGAAGATATTTATGCCTTTTACAAATCATATTGATTCTGAAGCTAACTCTTTCCGAGCCAGTTTCTAAAGTAAATTTTTGGTTAAATGTAGAAACCTTAGTTGCACAATCCTTTTACTCAAATTTTGTTCTTCAAACCATCTAGACGGGAATTAAAGACTATTTAAACTTACAAGAAAAACACACAACTATAAAAATAATTAAAAATCCGATCCGCAATCATGATACTTAGATTTGCTTCTAATGCAGCGTTATTAAACAGAAAACATTATTCAATTAACATGCAGCAAAAACAAACTATATCAGCCAACACTATATTGAAGATCAGTTTCATGTGGAAGCTTTCTTAATACTTATATATGTTTCAGACTACAAAAAAGAGTGTTATCATTAAAGAACATCATAAAAAGACAAATCTGACCTGAAGGTTACTCAAAACAAAACAAAAAATGTGCACAAGCTGCAAGGCACAGCACAGAACACTGTGAGTGAAGTAGCATCACTCAGTTCTCTGAAGCACAGCCTCTTTCTTTCTTGACAGGTGACAAAAACCACTTGCACGTGCAGCTTAATTAATCACTTCACTTGACATTGCAGAGATTTACAGTGCAAGGCAGGTGAGAAAACAAAACTAAAAAGAAGCACTTTTGTCAGGAAAGTTTTCACCACATAAAGATGATCTGCATACAAATTTACGAGAGAAACCACAAAGCATTGACAAATGTTCTAGTATTCCTCTTTTAGTGAAAAGCAATCTAAATTATACTAAACAGAGGTCTTTGAGACTTCTGTATTTATATCTTTTCACAGTTCTGCAAATCAGTGTTTCCTGTGTTAGTATTCCAGTAATGTCATTGATTATAAATATTTCATTTGCTCAGTGTCACCAAGATCTACCATTTAATTACACAAAACCTTGCAATGATAATAAAGAATTAATATGTATTGTCAGTACATATTAGAATAAACGCTGAAGATAACTGGTGTTCATTAAAATATTTTTAACCCAATAAAAGAACACTATAAATACACAGACATCTAGGAAAATTAATATGAAAACAATTTCCATCAACATTGACCAATACATAGTTAAGGCAATTACAAAACAAATGCTGCAAAACATTCTACTGTCAGAGCACCTGTGAGTAAGACATCAACAGGGTGCTGAATATTAATTAACATGAGGTTCATTTTATATCCCTATCCTGGCAAACAGCCAAGAGCTCTTGAGACAGACAGCTCTGCGACATCTCTGGTCCTTCAATGACCAGAAAGAAAAGAGAGATAAATGCTCAGCATCAATGAGCAAAGCAGAATCAGCAACTGAAACAAAAGTGCTAGACCAATTCAAAACAACTGTTTGGAACAGATTCTGAAAATATACGGTAAATTAAATGCTTTTAAAATTTCTCACTGAACAAATAAAGAAATAAGACACCAGAGAAAGACATGCTCTCTATTAAAACTCCATCTGCAGAGAGGGTAATCATATCTCCCTTACAGAACAATCCATACACTAATATCTGGCTTTTACCTCCACTTCACCAATTGATTGCAACTCTGAAACTTAATTTTGCACAGATAGCCTTAAAATTGAAAATTTGAGAGCATGATACCAAGATGATTTTCCACAATACCCAAGAGAAAAAAAATTCTCCACTCTAAAATTATGATTTTACAAAGAACAGACGGAGACTAGTGCAGCACTCCCATCCGGATTTTTCTGCATACAATCTACAATGACAGATGAAATGTTAGGTTAAGGCCCGTCTCTTCACTAGAAGACACTGCTGCTTTGTCTTTGTATTGTAGTACGGAAAACTGTACTTACTCTCTTACTGAGACAAATGACAGGCCACATACTGCAGCCCAGAGTGCAGCAACAGCAAAGGCAACCGCAGAGCAGCCAGCGCACATTAACAGGAAGGTTCTTCTTCAGGCAGCCATTTACCCTGTTGATGCTGGCCTTGAACTCCTCCGGAGCCACCTGAAACACAGAGCAGCCTGACCATCAGACAAGCCACCTAACCCAAATCCCTGCCCTCTGGAGTCATTTCCTAAGAACAACGGTTTGCCCAGTCTGGCAAGTTTCTTACAGCGAACATAGTAACATCATAAGAAGTCCTATATACTAAAGTAAAAAACATAAATAATTTGTTACAATCCCTTCAAAGTTCTCTTCTATATTTTACTAATCTACTGGAACTAGAACTTAATCTTGAGACAAGAGCCTGTTTTTGGGAGAGCAAGTAACCTGTATTTACAAACACCTGAGGAAGTGCAACTAGATAGACCCTCCTGCACCAGGCAGTTTGATTCAGCATTCCCAAAATAAAGATTTGTGAGCCGAGGCAGCCCGAAGCTTCGGTTTGTTCTCATTTACACCTACAGCACTAAAGATACCTAAAATGAAAAACTAATGGTCATGTTACTTTCCTAAACCATCTTGTAAAACTAGACTGAAATGTAAACAAATTTGTTTGTCTGGTGTGTTTTACTCAGTGCCTATTAGCTCTTATTCAAAACCTTCAGAGAGCTGATGTGCTATAACTGTGAGAGATTTCAGTAAAAAAAAAAAATCAGATTTCGTACTTTTTATAAGAACGTTATATGTTTATTGGGATTAGAGAAATTAAATCTTCCATTTTAAAATAGCTGCTAATTGTTTTGTAAATGTATCACATGTTACAAAGAACTACATTAGAATAAACAGAACTTACCTTTCCTGTTAATGATGATGGGAACTCAGACTCAAACTTGTTGCTAAGTCCAAACCTATGGAAAAGAGAAAATGTTATCTTTCTAGTGTCTATCACACATTCATTCTTATCACTGTAATAATTGTCATATACTACATTAATGCACATGTAAAGAGCGAGAGGATGTGTTTTTTTTTTTTGGGGGGGGGGGGTGACTGATATTTTCCAGCAAACTTTAGACTGTAAAAGAAGCCACTTTTACACAGTAGCACAATGATACGATTGGGTGAATCTCTGTTTAAAACACTTTAAAAGCTCTCCTTATAATATGGCTCTCTATCATTACACATCTCATATTTCAGTACTTCATACAAAAGGAGGATACTAATGCAATAAAAATAACTGTGCTTATATTAAAAGAATGCCTGAAATCAGCTTCTTGATTAGATGGATTGATGACATGCTGCGGTAGTCTGGACTGATTGATCATTGAAGTAAAATAAAATAATTCTTGAGAATATTTACAACGATGGAGTAGCTGCCTAAATACTCATTTACTCAGTGCAAGACTAACTCCCCAAACTGACACATCTCTATAAAAAAAACAAAGTGGTCCATTATTATTCATGTGATGCACACACAACATAACTACTGTGGTCTAATCAGCTCTGCATGGCTTATAATAATGCATAAGTTTCTTTACCATTACATCTTGTGATGTACTCAACCTAATAATGACCCACAGAAAAAACAAAAATCATACATTTCCTTAGGACTGTGCGCTCATTTCCTAACACTGATATTATTTAGCTTTGCTAATAGTTATGAAACTATTCATGATATTTGAAACAAATAGGGCTCTAAAGAAAGAAAAGCTATAAAACAATTAGCAATTTGTATTTGCTCACTGTTGACACATATGGCAAGGCAAGATCAAAAGCTTTTGTTTAAACCTTGCTTTACCTTTTCTGTGGAATGGGCTATAAGACTGCATCGTACATTGCTTCTTACCGATTTACTGTTACAGCCTAGATTCTTACCTGACAGGGACACCAATACATTTTACTTCATATGTTGCTCAGTTATGTATTGCAGCCAATGTGCACTGTGAGCCTGCTTACGTTTTTAAGGCACAAGACCCAACACAGACTGAAAAGGCTTAATCTTTTTCATGTAGTAATTAAATTAAATAATTTTCACATTTACTATAACATTTGACTTTGGTTAAATAATCATTTTGTAAATCTTAAACTACAGCAATTCCTGTATTCTTTTTTATTTTTGGCATGAAATCAAAGGACTGTTGAAAGAAAATAATGTTGTTGATTTCATACAGAAGTAATGTGCTTTCTACAATTTAAAAATATTAAATAGTTCTGAGGTTAAAAAAAAACCCTGAAAGCCTGAAAGTACAATTTAAAAGAGTGCAGAGATAAGACAGGGAATGAGGGGAGTGCGGAGAGAAAGGAAAAATGAAATCACAATCCGAGGACGACCAAGTTAATTGGCTCCAGAGTGCTGGAGAAGACAACTGATGATGACGGCTGTAACTAACCGTATCCAGCTGTCCTCTGTGAAACAGCCCATCAAAGTGCAGGACCACCTACCCTCCTGGTGTCAGGCCCAGGGCTCGGAGCCGGAGACCGGGTGCGTCTGGGGGCCCCCGAGCCCTGACGACGACCCGGAGGGGCCACACGGTGAGTCGCGCGAACCACACAACACCCCCCACGCTTTTAACACAACCCTAACAGCGCACCTTCACACAGACATTAAAGCTCCCCATCTCCAAATGCTTGAAAGCTGCTGAAGAACAACTTTGCCAAGATTTAAAATTGTTCTGAATGCAACAGGATCAAGGCATCAGTCGCCTTTACTTGTATTGGTACATCTATACGTACACAAATGATTTCAATTCACCTGCATTTAATCCTCTTCTGGGAAAATGACGACTGCACTAATCAGCACGTTACTCTGAACTGGTGGGATGAGTTTTAACAATATTTAAAAACTGAACCAGAACAAGTTTCTGGATTATATAATGACATCCACCAAAAAAATTAACAAAGCTCATCTCCAAGCACAACTCAGACATACATGGGAAAAGATTTTTAAAAAATCAGGTTTGAACAACACAGACATGTTGATTTACTTCTCATGAAATTCAGGTTTAGGAACAAGTTCATTTCTGAAATGTACACCGTCACAATAACCTTTAAGAATCTCAGAAAAATTGAATCTTAAACAAGGGTATAAAAATAAAAAGTACCAAGAAAAAAAACACTGAACTTCCCATCTTCTTCCAAAGGTTCCAGAAACTCTGAATCATAAGACACAGACTTTAAATGTCTACCTGCAGTGATGTGTATCCCATTAGAGAAGACAGAGAGCCCCCCAGAATTCCCACAGGATTAGAAGCTTAGTAACACATTAACAAAAACAGATAATGACTAAGAATGTCATCTTGTAGAAAATTAGGAAATCTGTGGCTTTGTACATGATAGAGCAGGGAAAAAAACACAGCTGCCTTTTGAGGGTACTTAACTAAGGGTTTAGAGAAGGCAAACTGCTACGCCCTAACAATTCACACCCAGTGATCAGTCCGGATCAGCTCTGTTAGCTCTGTTTAAGAGCTGCCGCTAAAAACTGGCAACCTTGAACATCAGTGTAATGACTTTTCTCCCCTTTCTCTTTATCAGACAAACTACGGACAATCAACGTTAAATGTGAAAACTCTTGCGGAAAAAAGCATATCATCACAAGTCCCGTTCATCGCAATTATTGGACTTTCAGAGCCTCGTCTAATCAAAGCAATTGAATGCTTTTATGAAACCTAAACTTTTAAATTTAAGTAATGGAAGGACAAGCCATTGGTGTTGATTAGGAAAACAGCTCAAAATAAGCAAAAACAAAAGTTTCAGAACACACAAGCTTTCAGAGCTGTATTTTCTTAATGCAAAGAGAGGGCCATGTTCCTGTAGGCTATATGGATCAAGCAATGCAGTAAAACAATTTGGCTAGTTATTTCAACAGAATCAAATCTGCAGATTGGTAGGATTATTCTGTTCAAACCAAGCTTACTATCCAATTCTCTGGAGGTCTTATTTTAAGAACACTAATTCTGAAATTAATTAAAGCACAATTACCAGTAATACTTCTAGCTAAAAAATGACCCTTCTAAACTAGCTCCCCTGTACAGCACCAGGGCTGTGCACCTCTCCTGGATCTTTGCTGGTTCTAACAAACAGAATCTAGGTCTTCTGTCACAAATTCCACTTTTTAACTAATTTACCAGTTAATATTCCTTTCTTTAGAAACAATGTATTTTGTTACACTGCTAGAAAAGAGTAAACAGCTAATTCACATTCAAAGAGCAGGTACTATCAAGCCTTCAACACAACACCTTCATGCTCAGGGTCGTATTTACAAACTGTCTGTCTAAAACTGCTGTACAAACATCTTGACACTCAGGAAGTACTAAACATGCCTCCCAATAATGTTTCCTATTATTATAACCACTTCATTAATACAACTTATTTTGGGCGAGAAGAAAGCCAAGCTTATTTCAAAGTTTCAATTCGCCTAACAGAATATCCACTGCACCACACTTGAAAACTAAAAAAACATTCAGTTCTGAACAGAGACCACAAGGGTCTTGATTCACATTCACAAACAGTACAGGTCCTGACAAAGTCAGCCAGAAGAGCTTGCCAGGACCAGCTATGAAGCCTGAACCAGGATGTACAAGTGCAAATGCAGAGAACAGCGCTGCTCCTAGATCACAACCACATCACACAGGTCAGGTGGGTCAACTCTACATGTAACTGATCTCGAGTTCATACGTGGAAAATAACATTACTGTTCCTGGGCTGCCTTTGGCTGATGTGTTTAGCGCCCATTTGCACCCTCTTGCATAGCTGGGTATTCGGCGTGAACCTGCTCCTGGGGTGAAGCTGCATCAAGCAGTTCAGCTGGAGCACCTTGCTCAAGGGGACAACAGCAGTGCTTCGCCAGGAGGCTCGAACCCGCATCCTTCCAGCCACAAGTCTAGAACTCTGACTGCAGCTCCCACGACCTCCCCAATTCCACCGAGACATTATGGGACAGGTTTGATGGGCAAGAGTGGAAAAATGTTTGATCTGAGAGGATTCGGAAAGATCTGTAAGGGTTAAAACAAACGCACTGTGCTAAAGAACACTGTGTGGCTGTGGTTGCCAACAAAAGGAGATTGTTTTTATAAGCATTTTTGGCAGACTGAGTTTTTTATATTAAAAAGCTTATAAATGAAAACTGACATTTATTCTGATCTTTCTTTGTTTCCATATTTCTCGCAGCTTTGACCACCAGTGTGTGCTTATTTACAGTAGACAGATACACAGATGCACTCACACCCATGTGAACATGATGTAATAACTATAAAAGAAAATAAACAGGTTATTTTTTTAGTAAACTATCTTCTAATCAGGAAGGACTAATTCATTATTTGCTCTTTACTGCTGCTTCAGCACATATTCCCACTTAATAAAAACTTCTGCCATGGTTAAAAGCATAATGTATGCTTAACCCACAACCCCTAGTGTCTGGAACAGCACAGGCATTCAACCAAAAGAAAAATTCGGGAGAAGTCAGTTGAAAAGGTAAAATACTACAGCTGCTATATTTTTCCTTCTCGTATCATACTTTCACAGATTCTTGAGTTAGCTAAGTCACCGTTAACATTTTCATCTTCCCTTTACTAGGAAACAGCAGCTTTTATCAAGATCTTTACATCTGAATCCTTACATGAATCCGCCAACCTTCACCTCTGCGGACATGCAAACTACCGGCAGAACTGTGGTGCACAAACTACACCTGCTGGAAAAAAGGCACCCGGGCTTGGACCACGGCAGGACTGTAACACGAAGGACGAAAACACTTCCAAACAAAACCTCAGGCACCGCGGCTTCCTGCCTGCGCATCACCCCTCCCCAGAGCACACAACACGCTGAAGCCCGACTGCCCGGCTGCAGCTGCCAAGAGGCGCTGTGGGCTCCCGGACTGGGGGGGACCCGGGCCCGGCGGGCAGAGGCTCCCCACGCCGCGGCGGCGCACTAGAAGACCGTGAGCCTGGTCCACCCCCACCGACGCGCTTCTCGCACTCGACCCCGCACAGGGCCTACCCACACCGGAGCCCCGGCCTCTGCCGCTCGGCCGGACCGCCTCCGGCACGCCTCTCCTGCGCCCGAGACCCGCCGGCATCGCAGCGGAGAGGACACACCGCGGCCAGACCCCCGCGGCACCCCAGAGCGCCCCTCGCCCGCTGCTCACACAGTGACGTGGCCGGATCCGCGCACCACCACCGGGTCCGGCGAGTACTTGAGCAGCTGCTCCTCCGCGGCCCGCTCCTCGTCCTCCTCCTCCTCGTAGATCTCGTCAAAGTCCGCCATCATCGCCCGCTCGCCTGGGCCCCCCCGGCGCTGCGCTGGCCCGAGAGAAGCGCACACGGTGGCAGAGCGACCCCCCGATACCAGCAGCCCCCCGAGAAACTGACACCCCGAACAAACTACCCGGCGAGCGGCGAAGGCGCAGCCTCACAGCTCGAGAGCAAAACAACAACATCCGCCGCCTCGCGAGAGGTTGCGTCACGCGGCGCGAGAGCGGAGCGGAGCTCGCGGGAGGAGTGCGCAGGTGCCGGGGTCACGCGCTCAGCGCTGCGCGGCTCCGCTTGCAGACTGAAGCGCACACACGCTCACGGGGTGACCTGAGACCGTGGACGACGCACGCCTTGGCGTGGGGGCCGGCCAGTCCTGCACTCGGCAAGACTGCCCCCCTCTCACCTGAGGCATCCAGAGCAGGGGGTCGTGGGCAGGAGGGTGTTTCTGCGTGGGGGTGTCTGGAGTCTAAGAAAGCCGCCCACTTCAGCAATTCAGGAAGATCACAAGCACCAGAGGGAACAAGATCAGTCACCACAGTCATGCCCCTCTACAGCACACTAAGCGAGAAACCTCGAGTCCCACTCAGACTGATGAAGCTTCGTGTTTACCTTTATATAGGTCGTGTTAACGTCGTTGCGAGGCTCTGATCTCTTTAAGCACTCGTCACCAATTAAATCATCCGTCTGTTCATCTTCAGTCCAATTACACACGTGGGAGTTGCAGCGCAAATATCTACATTTTTTATTGATTTTTACTAATGATTTAGAAATATAAAAAAATACTAAAGCAAATCATCACAAAATAAGGGAAACATGATGGTCAAATAAATTTTGTACATAAACATCAATGCAATATATATCATATATACAGGGAGGTCTAAGGCTCACAAGAGCTCCCAGCAGAAACGTATGTTTCCTGCATAATCGGGTGTAAAAATCACCAAGAACAGAGGTAGCTCATTTTTTTATAAGAATACGACACTCACGCCTGGAAACCAAAACACCAGAATTTGTTTTATATTTTATTCTCACAGTCTGCTCTGAGTTGCTCTCAGGTCTTCATGCATGTCCTGGGGCTGTGCCTCTGCGTCCCGTCACCCGGTGCTGCTGGTGCTGCTGCAGCTGCCCTCCTGGGGGGCAGCAGTGAAGGGGCCACCGGTCCCCCCCTCTCGGACCCAGGTCCGTCTTTCCGAGGAACAGAGCTCTGGTGCTTGACCTGGAGGGCAGACGTGCCCAGAGTTGGGTCCCAAACCGCCAAGTTACTTCATTTAACAGGTGCATCTTTAGAGACCGGCGATTTAATGATGATGTACAAGAGCTGCTGGACTACTGGTGAAACAGCGGTGATGTCTCGGTGAGTGATCACGCCCTTCCTCTTTCCCCTGAACACTCGAGAATACTGCAGCCCCCAAGGGGGTGATGTCTCTGAGCTGCCGTGCAGCACAGGCATAGTAGCAGCCATACACATTGGACAGCATACTCTCATCACAACGCCCTCCGGCTCACGTGAACTGGGATACAGCAGAAAGTATTCCAGGCATGTAATAAATAGGAGAGAAGGAGGACTGTAATGTGACATGAATACATAAACCTGTTTAGCAAAACCAGAGCCCTCTGTTATGTCGTACTGCCATACACAGACAAGGAGCTCAGCTTTAATGTATTAATTAGTGATAAAAGCAAAATACTGAATTCATAAATCTGTGTGAATAAGTTTTATACCATGATCAGCTATACAACAACATTGTGCTTCAACACAATTGTTTGTCATCTGAAGAAATATAAATGATTAGGACCACTTTGTACAATAAAACAAAACCATAAACTACATTCTATATCCCAAAATTACTGTTTGTTATATGTGGAATTTGCCAGTGGTGGAAGAGATGGAATGGAATGTACTGCACCTTTGTGTTTTACAGAGGGTGAAGAGGCTCGCTAGTCTGCCTAGCTAGTATAATGCCTTCAAATCCCACAGGCATGTGATGCTTGTATACATACACACGTTTAAATGTTAAATTAACAGTTAAAATGTCTGGAAGTACCACATATACGGTCTTAAGAGAAATTTTGAAAGGGGTTTCCTTTTTGTTCAGTTCTTGATAGGTACATGTTCATAAATTAATGGATTTGTAATTAAGAACATAAGAAACATCATACAGACTTCTAGCTGTCATTTCTAACTAGATTCCATCCTGAAATTTCACTGAATGATCCTCGGGGATCAGTTCAACACCTTGGAATGGACCAGCACACAAAGAAATATTTCTTCAATGCAGAAGGTCTGTGCAACAGTTTCTTAATGACGTCCCTCTGGCACACAGGAAGGAAGAAGGCAGGTCAGAGGGGGGCTCCCAGGGAGAGGTGTGGCACCTGAGTCTGGCCTCCTGGGGAGCAGAGCCAGGGGGACAGATTCCTGCAGCAAAAGGCACTGACTCTGGAGCATCGGGAATAAGGAACCACAATGCAGTGTCACCGAGAGTGTGTCTGCATTATCTTCCCATTGAAATTAAGACAGATTTTCAGCACTTCGGATCAGTAAGTCAAGCAAGGAAATTGGTCTAAGGGCTGTTGTATTCTTCCCCGTTACTCACTCTCATTTACTAATAAATGTTTGCTTAGTCTTATGGAAACATATAACTGGGTATTTGGAAAGAGCTTTAATAAGTAATTTGTGCTTGGATCGCCGTAAGACAGTGACTATCCATCTTGCCTAATGAAGCAAACTTTTGGGGAGCTTTTGAGGGTCACACCATCAAGTCGATTGATACTTCTTTCTGACTTCTGCCTTTTCATAATTGAACTACAAATTCAAAACACATTTGCACAGTGAATACCTCTTTCTAGAAACACTGGAGTCCAGCTTTTCAACTAAACCCTTCTAATCCTCTGCAGATAGATTCCCATTAGCCTTTGTTTCAGTCACTTTCCAATTCGAACAATGGGGACTATTCAGTTGCTTTGTTCATATTAAATTATTTGTCATACTTTCCTACTGAATTTGTCTGATTTTCATTCGCATGTGGAAACTGCTTTATTGTAATGCCAATAAAATTACGTTTTATTAATATCTTGGTAACAAGAATCCGTTTCACAATGGAATAATTTTAGTGTTGCTCAACATACATGTACATGAAAGTTAATGTATAATTTCAGTACTTTATTTTTGTGCAGCTGTCACAGGATAGGATATAGTTTACTATAGGATATGGTTTTATTAGATATATTTTCACCTGTTTCAGTGACATTGTTGTAAACATGAAATCATTTCCATTTGTTTGGTTAGAAATCCTGATTTCCAACATTGTACAATTTAAGAAGCTCAGGATGCTATAGGTATAATAACTTGAACTTGAACTTTATTGCCATATGTAACAATGGAACAATGGAAATAGTACCATTAGTATAATAGTATAATATATAGTATTAGTATAGTATAATAGATACAACTCAGAAGAATTTTTAAAGACCGAAGTGTCCCTGGGTAGGCATATACAGTACTTAGCTTTTTTTTGTGAAAATATAAGATTACTGCAAACTGTGTGACTCTACACTGCTATGAAATAAACATGACTGTACTGTATGTGCTTGCTCTCGTCTACAGCACTACATGAGTGGTTTAAAAAAAGATGAAAAGGCCAAGACTAACCGACCAAGTTCCCTCTGGAACTGCAGGGTCTGTAAGGGTTTATAGAGCTAAAAACTACTGCTGGTCACCTTAAGAGTGATCTGCGTCACCCCCTGATGGTGTGGCCATCCTGTAAGTAAAGCTTTAGCCTTTTAGATTCAAAGTATTTTCATACATATTGAAATCATATCTGTTAGGAATTCCCCTTCTCCATGTTTTATTCTATTTCCATCCATCTATCCATTTTTTAACCACTTCAACCAATACAGAGTCACAGGGCCACTGGAGCCTTCCCTGGCAAGCAAGAAGCACAAGGCGGGATACACTCTGGATGGGACGCCAGTCCATTGCTGGCCAAATGACCAATATAATTTTCTCAAAGTGTTTTCTGAGCTCTGCCAGCTGGTGAATAAAGTTCCCAAAAGCCTAGAAAGGATGTACATCAGGGCCCAATCCCAATTCTCTGGAGGTGAGAGACAAAAATGTAGCAAGAACATCACTTTCCACAGTATCACAACCCGGAAGCCAAATACAGTGAAATCTTGGCCAGATTTACTATCACTTCTATGATATGGGTTTGTCAAGATAGTTTGCCTTTCCTGGCCAATTGCAGTTTGTTGGTACCTTGGACACTTGTTATTCAAATTTTAAAAAGTGGTAAAGAAAATTCAGTTAAAAAGCTTTGGATACACTTTTGTGTTTCCTTATAAGAGCATGTTAATACCATCTGAAAATAAGGATCTCTTGAAAAGGCTTCATCTCTCTCCTAATGAAGGAGAACCATCAGCAAAAACATGAGCACATGCAGAATAAGTCCATTCAAATAATAGATTCTGGAAAGAAGTGACCAACACACTCAGCTGAAAGTTTTACAAGGTAAACAACCTGAATGAAACGATCTTGAACTCTGAAGTCAAGTTCTCAAAACCTGTTATAACATTTAACATTCTGGAAAATATAGTGTATGTTTGTCTTGTTTTTTATGAAAAAAATGAAATAATGTATTGATAATGTAGATTAAACAAGTTTAGTCCACTGCATAAATTGTGACACAAACTTTGTTTTCATTGATGCTATAAAGCGAATTTATTTTCTCAGAACAAGGAAAACAGAGTGGGCATTACAGCTGGTATTCTGTTTAAAGAGATAATTGTTCCTGAAATGTCACTCCTGTGGTATTATGTTGTCCCCTGGATCATTGTTCATTTCTGTTACCATTGAAGACTATTTTGAAGACCCGAGTGTTTCTTTTCAGTTTTTGGTATTCATGATCAGTTGCCTAGTAACTAATAAAAGAGAAATCACGCGACTATATTAGCCAAGATGTTCCACGGGTTGACTTACCACAATGCAACTTTGAAAAAGGCGTCCATACAGCTTAATGATGGTCTTTCAACAAGATATTAATGGATTTCTTCACGGTATCGCCAACATTGAGAATAAATAGGTATCACAACGATTGCAAAATGCTGAAATATGCCCACGGTAGCTTAGTCCGGCTACGCATCACGGTAGCTGAGGTCTTCGCGCTTGTAACACTCGAGTGTGTTGCTGTGTGCGGCTACTGCCAAGTGCTAGACGGCAATATTTATAAATGTGATCAATCAAGCAGTGTTTTTCTCATATCTAAATGTAATTTCAAGGCCTCACTGTGTTAATCTGACCGCTTTTTAGAGTTATAATTGAAATGTTACTAATGCCTAGACCAGCATCAGTAGGTGTGTACCTGCTCGTTAAAAAGACATTCTCCCTAGTATCCCACTTTTACGTGAAATACAGCATCTAGATATCGGCTGATGTCTATTAAATATGTTTTAACCTTTTAAAAAACGAAAATAATATACCGGTACATATTATTAGCGCAAAACCCAACATAAATAATTTAAAAAACATTTCCATGTTTTTTTTTAACTTCACGTTTGGACTGAAGCAGAAAGAACTCGCATCGATCTTCCGGAATCCTTCTCAGTTCTGGACTTCTCAAGAGGGCGGTTTTGTAACATTCTCGTTTGTTTCACTGCTTTTAACTGAGGCGGACAAAGCAAAGGCTTGTCGCCCCGAGCAGAATAAAAGGAATCAAAGGATTTTCCCTTAAATGGACTAATTTTCTCCTTGAATTATGAAAGTAATGACAAGGTAACAGCCTGTGCTCTCTACCCGACTGCTTAATACCTTCTAAATCCTTCCACGTGGCTCGACTAGTCGTAGCAATTAGACCTCATTATAGGCTCATAAAGGATCTCATTTGTGGGATTACTTAATAGACAATGAAATTTTATCGTGCAGAATTATGGAGAAATAGTATTGGATCTAGGACGGTGCGGCGTGGGCGCGCGCCTTACATCATTCCGCCTGGTTTAGGGCATCTTCGGTTTTGAAACCACTTTTCAGTTCCCTAATAACCCCGTGCTTCCCGTGTTATAGCACCGCGTTCACTCTATTACTCCAATTACAAATCCAGTGACAGACGAGTTTGTTTTTCTCCAATTTATCCAAGTTTAAAATCATATTCCATGGTCTTTTTAACAGTATTCGGCAACATCCTTAGAATTTTCAATTAACAATTTACGGGTGATCCACCGGTAGGTTTAATCAACTTATAGAAGCGTCCCGCAGCGTGAAAGAAGAAAGTGATAGCCAACCTGCGATTATCATTGTGCACTTTCAAAATGTATAGCTGTGATTTTGTAGCGTATATAGATGTGCAGTTTAGATTGGTCTAGGTCTGTTTCGGACTCCAGTTATTTATGTTTTTAAGATCGGTTATAGTCAGGAGTTAATTAAAGAAATAAATCGACGCAAAAAATTAAAATACTTAGCGAACACCAACACAGGGTACCGGGCAAATTAAAACACTAGACCTCCGGTTCTGTGCAGCACGCTTTTCCTGACCTCTGTTTCTGTCTTCTGCCATGAAGCTCGAGTCCACAGATGAAAGCAGAGTTAAAACCTGCAGCTGACCCGCCCGGAGATCAAGCTCGCTAATTATTGTCACAAGATGAGGGATTAGCGCATTTCTGAAATAGCTGCCTGTTTACACAGCAGAAACCCACCATAATAAACACTTTCTAATTGAATCCTAATCGCTATCAAATAGCCAAGTAACCAGCCTCCCCAGCAATTCATAAATCTTTAATTACTGGAGCTGAAATCGCTCCCGCATCGTCAAGAAGTATGATTATGCAGCTCTTGCATGCAGACAACAGAGACGTCTATATGTTTATCCCACAGTTTTAACAAACAACACATAGGCTGCTTTTTACAATCATTAGGATTCAAAAATCGATTGTGTATACTACCGGCGATCTATAACAATAATGATCATGAACAGTACTGTGTAGGTTTCATGCAAGCAAAAATGACTTTATAAGATAAACTAATTGAGGAATATAACCTGTAATATATATTGCTACTTACTTTCGGAAGAATTTGTTAGGCTCTTTTACAGGCGAGCAGAATCCCCCTAAAACGCAGTTACTGTATGTCCCAGCCTTTCAGTGAACACTGCGCAAAGTGCAGAAAGGCAGTAACATTCCTAACAGAATTTTGCTGACAAAACATTAAACGGTATTTAACTATAATCATATTTTAATAAATATCAACTGTCCATTTTTTAACTTTTTTTAAACATTTTTTAACTTTGATCACTGACCTGTTCGATAGTTTAAAGGGATTATTCCAAGTCATGTTAGTATTTCAGAATACTGAGATCAGTTTCTCATTCCGCTTGCATTACGTTTCAACTGAGATATCATAGGCTTAAAAAAATAAGCTATTATTTAAAGTGACTGTTTTACATGTTCTATTTAATTCATAATATAGTGGCATTGATATTAAAATCACTTCTAAGCATTGTGCCTATCGAATACATTAAACATTAACAGTGCATACATAAACTATGATTTTAAATCGCTGTGATAATGGATCATACGTTACTGTACATTAGTGGATAGTATATGTGTTTATCGAATACAGTTAGAATTGTTCAGTTATGTTATATTTTATTTTATTCTTTAAAATGAATATACTTATAGTGCCTTTAAAAATATATGGAGTAATTTTGTGTTTCTGGGTTCAGACCTCTCCTGCATTTTGTGTTGAATCCGTGGGACTGAGGATAATAAAACATGTAATATAGCCTAACAGACAGCTGTGGGGCTGAATTGGCCCCTTCTGATTTTCTGAAAGGTGAAAGCGCTTTTAACAAAGCGCACGCATTAAAAAAAAGTTTTGTTTCGTGTTTCTCTCGAGAAGCGAATCTGGAGAGCTCAGATCACTAAATGGGGAGATTTTGATTTGAAGTTCTTTGAGGAATCACGTGTCCCGGTTCACTGGCAGGACTTTGAAAAGCCCCCGGAGCAGGGCTCACACGTGGGTGACGTTAGGACCAGCCCTCTCTAGGGACCCTTTTGTTTAACCATCAAACATAAGCACCTTCCGAGATCCCGAGAGCTTCAGAGAAGAAGGAGCAGCGTCAAAGCACAAGGACCACTCAGCGCATCGCCACTATGTCGAGATCCTTCTACGTCGATTCTCTGATAATCAAAGACAGTGCCGCGCGCCCCGCGCCCCTGAGCGAGCACGCGGGGCAGGAGTTCCTCATCCCCATCAGCGTGCACTCCCCCAGCGTCATGACCGTCTCGGCGCCGGTGTGTCCCTCCAGGAAGAGCGGCACCTTCTGCGTGTGCCCCCTCTGCGTCACGTCGCACATCCACTCTCCGCGCAGCGGCATCCCCGTGCTCAAGAGTCAGTTCCCAAGCGGGGAGTCCCAGTACTGTCAAAGACTGGGGCACCAGCCGAGCCCCGCGCTGGGCCACCCCGGACACGCACCTGTGTGCAGCCCGACCTACAGCGTCACCGATCCCAGGAGGTTCCACTGCCTTTCATTGGGTAAGAGCAGCCGTGCGCTCAGGGACCCGCGCTCAACAAGGGAGCCTAGAGGCTCTTTCGGACGGTTTAATCTTTTGCAAATGATTTCTTCTAGATATAGAGCGTAACTACTTAAAGATGTTTAATTTTGGCAAAAATAAATAATTAAACGAAAAAAGTACAAGTCCAGGTAAAAAATATCAAAATGTGGAAACGAGTGGCAACGCTATATTTGAGGGTCACTTTTGTAATAAACTCCCAACTGAAATTCCACATTATTCGATGCAGAACATGGTTAATAGCAATAATATGACATTTTATACCTCCATAGACCTCCTATGAGAAGAAAAAAAGTTTGCACTTATTCGCTTTATGTAGATGTTGTATAATCTGAGGCGCAACTCAGATTTGTATTACAGAGTACTGAATATGCGTTGATATAGGGCTTTATTGTATGTTTTGAAGTCATGCACATATCGAAGCGATTAGTCTGTTTCGGTGGCCTGCGAGCAGATCGTTTAAAACACTTGTCTTCTCCCCAAAACAGGAGCGTCCGAAAGCAGCCACATCCAGAGCGGTAAGAGGATGCGCACAGCTTTCACCAGCACGCAGCTTCTGGAGCTGGAGAGGGAGTTCTCCTCAAACATGTACCTGTCGCGCCTGAGGAGAATTGAAATTGCGACCTACTTGAGCCTCTCGGAGAAGCAGGTGAAGATCTGGTTTCAGAATCGCAGAGTCAAGCACAAGAAGGAGGGCAAAGGCGCGCAGAGGAATGCGCACAGCGAGTGCAAGTGCTCCGGCGGCCACGGGCACTACTCCCGCTCGGAGGACGAGGAGTCCCTGTCCCCCGCGTCGGCATCGGAAGAGAAGGAGATATCGCCGGTTTAAAGACCTTCGCGGTGACAGCCCAGTAAGACAACACACGATTCCCCGGCGCCTGCTCTCCCCAAACATGGACATTTGAGGAAGAGAACTGTTGTTTCCAAACTCTGACGAAGGTTCTCTCCCGGGACACTCCTAATAGCTCCGGCTTTCCCAAGATTTGATTAAAGACCTGTCCCTGACTTTGTAACAGTTTTTGTATTATATTTATTTTACTTCGGGATTTTTTTCCCATGTTATTTTCTTTATGTAAAGGAAAAAAACAACAACAATTGATGGGTGTATTCCGATTATTCAAAACAGGTCTACTGACGAAATGTTAGAAATGGTTTAAGGAAAACTGCTCTTCTGATTTAAGAGAAAGGTGAAGTAGAGGTAACATGTGAAAGAAGTACACCTCTTATATGGGCGGTGTGAGGTCAAGGTCGTGAGATATGCTAAATTTCGAAGTCGCTTTCTATGAGAGAGAAATAACATTGGAAAGATAAACACTCCCGATTTACATTAAAATGTTGTCACGATAATTGGACCCTGTTAAATAATGTAGGTCTTCGAACGAATCTGTAAATAGATAAGGTATATACTGTGATTGTTTTCCTTACTTTTGTATGGATAGTTTTATATGAAATGTGTATATTTATATTTATTTAAATAAAACATTGAAGCCTTGAACCACATTCCTATAAATTGAACAATATGTATATTTGCAAACAAGATAACAGATTCCTTACAGAAAAGCTATAAGCAGTAAAGCATATGATTTAATTTCAAGTAACATACGTCTGCGGCAATCTCAACGCACGAATTTACCCGGCCATTCAGAAGTTGTGTGTTACATTAGTGCCATATTTACTTCAGTGTTGATGCACATTTTTCTCTCATCTCCTACGGTAACGTGAAGCTAAGTTTATAATTCAAATATAAAATATATGATTTAATTTAGAATCTAACCGGAGCTCGATAAACCAATAATAAAGTTAATTCTACAATTACACGAAGGCCTCACGTGAAGATAAACATCCCCTTTCGGAAATGAAACCTAATCGACTTGAATTACTTCCCTCTAGAAGAAATCTTACAATATCGGAAACTGTCACTCGGCATCAATGAATTCTTACTGCGCGCCGAATTAATCTGCTTTTGCTAGTGTAAATTAATGTATTTTTCACTTGACCTCAGCCTAACTTGTTTCAATGTACAGAGAATAGAAGTGAATCCGACCTCTTTCAAAGTTTAATCCCATGAATTTGTCTCTAAACGCGGCTTTCGATTTCTTAAGACATTTACTTCATTAAACTAGAACCAACTAAATGATAAAAAAACAGTTTACGAGGTTTAATGGAAAACGGAGTGCATGGCAGCAGGGAATTGAAAACTTTAACGATAAAAAGGGATTGAAGATGCAATTGAAAACAAAAGGAGTAACTCTTCTGACAGATTTCTCTCCTCCTGTAAGTCTTTAAAACTCCCGATACCTCTTCTTTAGCACGTATATTGTAGCAACCTGTTTATCAAATAATTTGACATTCCTGAACAGCTCATGGTCACCACTTCAAAAAACAATTCGACTCTGCCTCTCACAGAATATAATACATGTCATGTATTACGCAGGCTATCAATGAATACCACAGTAGGTTGTTGTAGTATTTTGTTTTATTTTGGTCCAATAATTATCAAATATGAAGTACAAAACAAATAATTGCAGTGTAGATTATTTGCAGTATATTTGCGTGAATTCTGCATTTACGATAAAGTACAAAAGTACACATTTTCACCGTGTCACTGCGGACAGTTACTATCAAGTCAGAGACGCTGTCGTATTTAACGAGCAATTACACCGATAGGACTATCCAGCAGAAACAGAAGTAACAATACCATCATATAAATGACCTGTCTATTCATTAAGTGTGTTCGTTTATTTTTAAAGAGATTCTTGTTTGTTAAAAAAAGAAAGAAAATTAAGTGAATGATCAAGCCGGGCAAAAGATGCCTCCATATCTGATAGCTGTTGCTCCGGTCTGTCCCGCGGTGCTTCGTGAACTGTATTCTGTGCTCAACGGTATGACGTCACATTTGGACAGAAAACTCGCACAAGTTGAGGAGTAACGCATGTGCTGGTTTCTATGCGCTGTGTGAACATGCAGCCGGTGTGCTTTGTCTTGATGAATGGCGTACATGGAAGATGTTACGAAGTAGGACAGTATCATTTCATTTTCTTCTCACTTGGGTATGTTTTGTATAATTAATTGAACTGTAGAGTTGTGTCTCTCTTGGTAAAAAAAATGTAAACCACAAAAACAAAATGGTTTACAGTTTACGCTTGGAAATTTGATCGCGCCTAAACCCATGTGATACCTAAATTTCAAGTCTGTGCCCTCCTCTGCCCCACTCCTCTGAGGGAGCCTCCTGCAATGTGTATTCAAAGGTTGCCAGATCCGGGAGGGGTGCTGATCAGCACTGCAGACACACGGGGAAAGAAGGAAGGGTTTCGGATTAATGACTTCGTGACAAATTCCATCTGTTTTAAAGATTTAAGTTGGCAATGCCCAGAACAGAGCGTGGGGAGCCTGCCTGGCTTCTCCTTTTGATTGTGAACGTTTCTAAAGAGGTGACAAAGATTGATAAAGACGCTTTGAAAAGCTAGAGGCGGATTCGAGCCGTTCTAATAAACTACACTGTCACTTCTAACACACAGCCTTTGGAGTGTTTTTTCACGGCCTCCTCGTTATTTCTCAAAGAGCTCAGACTTCACTCCTTTTAACTGACTAGCAGCACGATCCAGTGGAGAGCTCTACAGTAAATAAGAGGGCGCAAGATGTTTACGGAGCTGTGTAACAAGCAGTCCGTTTCTTTACACATCAGCGAAGATCACACAAGAGAGCTCCTGCCAAGCCAAATGAAAAGTGCCAGAGAGTACAAGTTTAGAAGGGTTCTTCACACTGAAGTACATTTCCAGCCATCTTCAAAAAGACGAGATTGGGGATCTCTATCAGTTATGTAATATCCGACCTTAAGAACATTTACCAAGGCATTAGCATTTTTACCATGTTTTTTTTTACCAAGAAAGGCATACAATGACTTTGGCTCAGACTCAGATCCGAAAACCTTTGTAAACAATGCAGAGCGGTAAGGACCGTGAGTGGCTGATGAAGAATGGGCACGATCCGAAACAATTGGTCCTTTAAGTTCCAACTGACCGACCCGTAGAGCTGATTTCCCTTGAAGTGTGGAAATTCCCTGTAGTAGCGGAGACAGCGTTTGTATAAACTGATGGCCCTTTGGCACTACACTCACCGCAATATAAGAACAATCTAATGTTTTTTTTAAAGCACAGTTACCAGCCTTTAAGAACAACGTTATCTTAAATTCAGGAGTGAAGATGTCAAACATCAAATATAGGAAGAGCTCTGCTAATTATTTGTAAATATATTAGCTTCACGTCAGCTGTTTCAGAGGGTTATTTTGAATCCTGCAGTAGTTCTTCTTCCACGCCTGCCCTTTTATTTTCGCTTCTCTTGGGTTGATCCCCTGCGTTAACTTAACCCAAAAGGAGTTTAATTGCAGTTTCAGTCCTCCGTTGGATTATTATGTAGCAATTGCTTCCAGGGAAAAAAGGCTATATGGACTGGGCAAAGGCTTTGACAGGTTAGATTGTACTGCCAAAGACGAGCATTTACTTGCGGGACCCCCGACTGTTACAAGCCCAGAGGCTTTGAAGACACAGTTAAAGGGCTCCACTGTGAGCTTGAGAGAACGATTTAGTCACTGTTTCATTAGACACTGTTTGAACCCTTCAACGTGTGGTAAATTGAGGGCCAAACTGAAATGGAAGGATTACGAAGGCGGGGCATGAGGAAATTAGCTAACGGTTAATTTAACTCGTTTTTGATAGAATTTGGGATACATTCCTAATTGACTGGGGAGGCAGGTGAAGTTTCAGTCTCATGCAGGCTCTTTCAAGGAGAGAATAAATGGTTTCTTTCTCGTTCGTGCTGCTGATAATATATTATCAAGGGAAAGACACCTAATGAATATATATTGAATTCTCTATTAATCGAATTAGAATCGGCACTTGCAGGTGTAGAAGATAAAGACGGACAGTCCCATTAAAATTGATTAACAATATAGTTAAGCTTCGGTTTGGGGAACATTTGCTTCCTTCCACGAAAAAAATACGCGAATCGCAGGAACTTTAACAAAGAGCTTTGGTCCATAGTAGCAGACGTTCATCCAACTCCTAAACTGAACAGACAAGGAAAATCATCCACCAACGAAGGCATTTTACTTCTAGACAGTTGAGAGGATTTAGAAAATTACAAGTACATTTTAATAATCCAGTAAAAACAGAAAAAATAAATGCCAACATTGATAAAAAATATCCAATTTATATGAATAACCACACACAATCTTAATGTCGCGGCCTTTTCTTTCTTTTCAACTGAAGCATAGCGGGGAATTCAAGACTGCCCGCTATAACCCCAATTCTTTAATTTATGTTGAACAATATCTACACTCAAACTTTAAAAACAGTGTGCGGTGAGAGGGGGATTCTGTAACAATTCAAACACTTGATATAATAACAAAAGAACAAGGACACGATACCTGAGTCTGGCAGACGAAGAGATGAATGTATGCAAATTACTCAATATTAACAGATAAAAAAATACCCCAACTCTCCAAAAGGTCCTTTATAAATTTCCATTGAAAATCAAGTAATTATGCATGACAAAGGACAATTAATAAGCCTCCCTTTCACCGGACTGCAGCTGGTAGCCCGTTGGGAAACTAGGAGGAAACTCGAGAGGGAAAGCGCAAAAAAAATGTTTTTGCGCGTGGGGACCTCCACTCCAGAGATCGCGCCGCAAGTACAATGTTAGCTTTTGCTGGGATGTAAAGGACACACTTATCACTAGCGAAGAGCTTTTAAAATCCATAAACCATTGGGAATAACCTAACCTGGGAGGGCTCGATGGGTGGTTGGTGGAAAGATGACGAAGCTGCGACTGCTGGACACGTGTCCCATCAGCACTTTCTTTAGTGACTTAATTTAGTAAGCTCCCGGTCACCACACAATATGTCTCTGCCTCCTTTGTCATTCTTTTCAGAGTGAAACCTTTTTTAAAAGTGTCAACCATTTTTAAATGCAACCCTTTGTTTCATTAGAGCGTGCCTCCTATAATGAACTTAATTTAATGGCTTCTGGCTGGATGAAATAGTATTGCGCCTTAGAGCGCGGGTGAAACTGAATGGGATATATATCATTATGGTCGTTTCACTAACCTTACTCACCACATCACAATACCCAGAGGGAAAATGCATTCAAATTGTAGCAAGGAAGTTGCTTTACGTAGTATTCTTAACAGGAACTTTGAAATTGCGAGCGAGGGAGGGGGATTTGTCCTGCTTAAAAAGTTAAAACAAATGCACGAAATAAATATTTTTTAAATCATTTAGACTGCGAACTTATTTGATTCTTTCTGCACTGTTTCGAATTGCACAGTATAGGATGGAGATGAAAGGACCTATTACAAGAAAAATAAATATTTATTATTATTGGTTAATATTATTGAACTATGTAATGGTTCAATTCTATCAAGGTCATTTAGTCTTTTTATATGTATATATTATGTAATTTAGAGAAAGCACCACACTAAAAAATAAATTGCAGAGAAAACAATTTGGTCCCTAACGGGGAAACACAATCGTTTTAAAATATAACACTAGCTATTCAGTAATGTTTTTCCTAACATAATGTACCAACAAAACATAACATCACCATTGTGTTATTTGTTGTTCTCACAACAATTCTAGTGTTGGTTTTGCACAAATACAAATTGTGTTTGCAACGCATTTTAGTGCATCCCGAAGTACGCTTTAATGATACATAGTAAAACTGCAATAGAAGATTCAGCTGTGATGCACACCCATTAGGACAAATACTGTGAATTCTGTAGCAAATGAATATACTCCATGGCAATAAATACATGGCTAACTGCATGTACAGTTGAGGAAGAAACAGAATTTCATTGCTTTTCCAGGCAGGAACATTCCCCAGATCTCAAAAAAGAATGATTCTTCTGTAAAAATGGGATATGTCTGCGCTGTATATATGGAGAATCAATAAAATAGGTCAATAGAACACTTGGATATATAGTTAAAGGTATAGAATTTAAATCAAGGGAAGTAATGTGAAAATTTATACAATGATTTACTCTGTGCTTGTTTGGATTGAATTCCGTTGTGGAATTATGCTACAGGACAGCTGTTGCTCCAGAGTTATTGCACGGGAGCAACCAGACTAATTCCTGGTCTGAATGTCATACCCAGACAGATTTTAGAGAATAAATCCTCTCATGCCCAGAGAATTAAACCTTTTCAGCTTGGAATGGAGAAGTCTATGTAGAGACTTCATTCAGGTGTTCAAAAATCCTGAAAGACCAGGACTAAGGCAACACAGATGACATGTGTAAGACCAGCAATGATATAAGGACCCAGATACATAGGTCAAAAATAGTTTTAGTAGCAACGAAATCGAAAATAGGAGGTAGTAATTTAAATTGTGTTGGGGAATTTGCACTAAAGTTTTTGGTGTTGAAGCTGACTTCTTTGGGATCTTACATAAAACATTTTAATGGGATTCTAGGATCAATAAACTACAAGCAAACAATTTAGCAAGATGGTTTTGTAAATACTGTCATGCTCGTAGAAGATAAACCCCATCCAGAGACCAATGCATTGCTGAGTATTTTAAGAAGATTGCAAGGGCTAGTAACTATGTGCAAAAACACAGAGGAGAGATGGGTACTGTTATCAGCACTGAGCAGCAAATTATTGACTTGACTTACAATGCAAAAGAAGAGGAAATTCTATGTTGCATAATGCTCCAGAAACACGTTTCTTAAACAGTATTAGTGTGAACATACTGAGAAATAAAAGCAGTGCAATACTCCTGTTTAACAGGCTATGTTTAATAGGCTATTATAAATTATTTTTCAATTTTCCTTTCAGACAATGCGAGGAAGCAATATGTTTTAGACAAAGTGTGGATTAAATAAGCAAAAAAATGTTAAGGTGTATAAACATTTATAACCATGTATCAAAAGGAAAAAGTTAGTCTTCTCATTTCTAGTAGAGAATTTGTCTGTTAATATGACATACTCCTGGGACAGACAGCCATCAGCAGTGTCAACTCTGCAGCATAACACTTAAACCCCAAGCTACAGTATGGCTCCTCTGAGAAAGCATTGCTCTTGTTTAAGATGTACAGTTTCACCCACAGAAAGAAAGCAATCACGTTCTTTGATACAAGCAGCTGTAATGGGTCATGGACAGTATTTGGAGATTGAGTTATTGTACACAGTCAATGCAACTAAATCTTCTTAAATTTTTACTTCAGCGTTTGGAGACAATTCCATCTGATATCTTTCATATGGAATGCTCTATAAGAAGATAAATGAGTTCTTCTTGGGCTTGCCTCACTCAAATCTTTGATCAAAAGTGAAAAAAAATTTTCCCTCTGAGAAGTATTCACTTTCAGGAGTCATTGCATCTGACTAGTACTTTTTGCTGAACCATGCATGTAAGTTTTACTTGACTGTATGTTAAAGGTGACTCTTGACTAATTAAGCTCCATTAATTATTTGGTAAATACTATTAATGTTTTCATAGCAAATTTCATATACCTTCAATGCTACTGTATATATTCACAGACATATGTTTTCTGTCAACAAATCAATTCATATTTATAACTTGTTGCTTTGCTTTTAACATTCTACATCTATGTACTAAGAATAAATAAATAATAGGATGAATCTGCTGTTATCAAATTACAAACCCAGTATTCACATATTTCAATTGGACAGAATCAGGGAGCCTTTGACAGAGCTCTGCTTTTGCAATTTGCAGTTGTTGGATGGGTCAAATTCATAATTTAATTTCAGACCTTGGTCTTTCTTTGAAGATATAACTACACAAATCTGAGTGATGAACTTTAATTTCTAACTTTCATTAAATTATATATGCACCTACATACACTGATATATATTTTGTATTACTGTCATTAAACATTGATTCATCTTCAATGATTTGTCAGTAATATTTTAAAATAACAGCCCTAAATTCATAATAAATTCAACACTGCTATAATACATTAAATATCAAAAGAAATTCCATGGGAAGTGTAGAGTACAGTACTTCATTTTAAATAAAAAAATCATATTATTTCTTCTAAAATTAAGTGGACATCTATTACATGAATATATAATTGCAGCAGCTGATATTTCTTCTTAGCTTAATGAACCCCAAACAGCAAATGCTAGTTATTTCTAGAGTGTTGACTACATTTTGACAAAGGATTGGCATGGATTTCCCCAGCCTCTCCCATTACTATAGAGCTGCAAAAATCAGTACTCCAACCCTGCATGTTAGAAGATTTATGTTATGAAAACTGAGTATATTGATAAGTAAGACACCCTAAAGCCATTACTCCAAGACTTGGCACACATTTGTATGAGTCTAAATTATCATTTAGATGCTACTGTAGGAGTTTGTTTCCAAATAATCAAATTAAAATTTAATTTGTTAGCTGGGGTTTCTTGATCTGGAATGTCTGTTTTTCACTTAATAGTGAAATCCTGATAAAACAAGAACAGTGATTTGTTTTCTTTGCAAACTTGTTCTGTTAACTTTACTAAGTGTTTGACTTCCCAGCTGAGCTATCACTCCTCCTGATAGCACAGCCACACACTGCAAATACCATTTCTAACAAAGTCCAGAGTTTCTCTACTTGTTCACTGCAGTTATTGATTTCACGTTCCAGGGAAACCAAGATAAGGAGCATTTCAGTGTCACTGGAAAAGGTGAGTGAAATCGACAGTCTTCGGCTTGGGTAAATGAGCATTATTCTTCCTACAATTGAAGCTTTTTTTTCTGTGGCGAGCACTGCATATCTGTAGAGTATACTCACCGTATATATAACCCAGGCAGTTACTGTACGTATAACAGTTTTAAATGGCCCTGCAAATTTGTGTGATGTTGTTTTTCTAATCTCTTTACTGTACCTACAGGTAATCTGAAAATACAATAACATATAAAATATACAAATATAAATATAATGTAAACATTTTTTTCTTGTTTTATAATTTCTCGACATTCCTAATACTCCAACTGTTACTGGCCGTAATAAAAACACATTTAAGGTAATTCTTTTTGAATGCACCCAGAGTCTCTAGCCAATCAATATTTTCTAACCAAACAATTATGTCTTCAAAGCTTGTCTTTCGGACTTGGGGCTGATTGACTGTTGCATTTGTTGACACTTGTTGTCAATATGTGTTCCGTTCCGGAAGGAAGATAACAGCCGAGATTGCGAAAGGAGCTGATGAACCTCAACTCCAGGACTGTACTAAGGTAATAACGAAAAGTTGTTAAAGTCCCCGAGTCGCATTTTTTTTTGTTTTGATTTTAAAGTATTGAAAGATTTATTGCGTTTAATAAAGTGTAATTCCAAAATAAAAAATAAATAAAATTATACATGCAGTCTGCGCAGAAAAAACGAATCTTGTAAGTGTTATCCAATTAGGCATTCGCTCTTAATCATGTGACTGCAAACAGGTGGACATTTACAGGTTACTAAAAGTTAACTTGTTCACTCATGGACAGTAGTCTGAGAGTCTGAATGGACGTCCCATCACCAACTTTCTCTGGATTCGCACTCAGTCATGGACAGTCTAAATATGCGTTTTGATAATAGTTTGGAATCCCAGAGCCACCGGGAGTACAGTCACAGCCCGTCTACCTGTCTGTATTCTCGGGGCGCAGATCAGACGCCTTTCAGATCTCCTTTCGGTTGTTACGGAGATCCGATCAGAAGGGACTCCATTCCTTATGAACTGCCTTCCTGTCAGCATTCCGGTCCTGAGCAAGCCTTTAATTACGAGTACCTCCCAGATAAGCGTGGCTCTTTGACAGAGAGCGGCGGACTGGCGCGGTTCCCCTGGATGAGAAGCACCAGAACTCATGCCTACCCCTCGCCCTTCCCAGGTGTGTATTCTCCGACCGCTGGAGCGAGAGTCCCTCTCTGCTTTGTTCGACTTTCCATGAGCCTTTTCCGAATGCATAGTACCCTTAAAAAAATAAGAATGATAACACATTGTATGTAAATAATATTTACAACTCAAACAAGGAGTTCATGAAAGATCCTCTGGGCACCCTTAATCCTGGTGTGGTGTAAGCGCTGAAGTTGATGGTGAGGTGAAGGTGACTGAATCACTGTGCACCGAGAACTGCAATTCATTTTATCGTTGTTCAGTCCTTGATATCTGTACTCGAGGGAGGTGGCAATAAAAGCAAAATTCAGAGAAATACTTATCGACACTTAAATGTAGGCCATTCAAAATAACTTTACTGCTACACACTATTTACGTCTATTTTTCTTTCCGAGTTTGAAGAAATCTGTACTAACGCCCGTGTGAATGTGATGCTCCAGGTGGCGCCCCCCAGGAGGACACGGATGACAGCAAGCGGACTCGGACCGCGTACAGCAGAGCCCAGCTTGTAGAGCTGGAGAAGGAATTCCACTACAGCAAGTACATATCCCGAGCGCGCAGAGTGGAGCTGGCGGCGGCGCTGGGGCTCACGGAGAGACACGTCAAGATCTGGTTCCAGAACAGGAGAATGAAGCGGAAAAGGGAAGAGGCCCAGCGGCACCGTGGCTCCAGTTCAGACCCACTGAAAAAACGGAATGACGAAGACCCAGGACATGAAAACGTCTTATGAAACTTTTTGAGGATACTATTTTGTAACCAAACCATTTCCGATACGCGATCCAGTCCCTTCTAAAGAAATACATTCCCTGAAAATATTTAAACCCTGTCCGTTTGGTCTACATTTTAGTGACTTCAGCAATCGAAAAAAACAACAACTTTCAACTAATTGTGTCCATTCTGAGCCCCCAGAGAAGGATTTACACATAAAAATACAAACAGCAAGAACATTGATAGGGTTGACAGGGCCAAGGTTCGCAACGAGGGTCATAATAATAATAATAATAATAATAATAATAATAATAATAATAATAATAATAATAAT